TATATATATATATAATACACATCACAATACACTGGTAGATGATTTAAATTTCAACCGACCAAAATACCAATGATTTAAATTTGAACACACCCATGCGTTTGACCAAATGTCTGGATGATTTAAAATTGAGCCCATAAAAAATTATTTAAATTTGAATATACCAGAAATTTTATGTACTTTTTATTTATAAATATATTGAAAGTGGTATTTAATGGTTGTTATTTAAACTATTTTAATATGTTTGCAATGAATAGAAGTTTGAATGAATAATTTGTAATGTTATTCATAATGTTTGTGACTTATGAGACACGAACACATAACTCCATACATATTTGCCAGGGTGATAGGACGAAAAATGTGCATGTTTTATATATTCAACAGTGTATTTTAATACACTTAATTTATTCGCACGTTTATAATTTTTGACTTATTTATTATTTGTATGGATTTACTTGCTTTGAGGTTTTTGTGTTATTCTCAGTATTTTGGGAGTTCTTTATGGTTGCGAAGCATTAGACGGAAGTTCCCGTGATCAATTATCGCCTCCGCCGATATCAGCTTGAATTTCAATTCATGTCTAGGCCCAACGTTGATTTGGACCCACAATTTCAGCCCAAGTTTAAGAGAATTTTTTTAAAAAAAAAAGTCAGAATCATGTTGGAAGCAATTAATTGATTGAAGGGGCCAAATAATTCATGCATGGATATAAAATTAAAAGAGGAGTTTTAAAGTTGCTGGATACTTGCTTGGAAGACTTTGGTTTTGAGGGAGTGATTTATTGGCTGGAGAACACACGCAATTGAGGGGATTCGGAAAAAGCAGAAAAAGAAATGGAGTACACGGACAGAGAGCAATAGAGAGGGGAAAATAACACACGCGGAGGGAAGCCGCACCAGCACACGAGGGGAGATTATATTTTCTCTCTTTTATCTAGCTTTTATTTATTTTTATTAGTATGTTAGGCTAGTAGTTTTTATCCAGTTTGAGGGGATGTTGAACCCTAACTTGAATTTGTCTATGAATTTAAGGATTTGAATTTATTGTTGATTAATCGAGACGTCGTATTTATTTTTGTTGATGACTTGATTCATGTTATCTGTTTATATTTCTTATGAATTATGATGTTTGATTTAGTCTGGCCAACTACGTTAAATATTCATAGTTTAACTGCTAGATACGAGACTTTAATCCGTAATTGTTATTGTCTTGTTTCGTTAGTAGTAAACTAGGGGTCGTGCATCCTTAGGGTAACGTGAACATAAGTTAAATGGTCCGAGCTTATGCGTCCATTGCTTAGACTGATCTATTTTCCTAAGAATTAATGCTGCTAGTGTATTAAATCTAGAGAGCTTATTCTAGGTTGTCCACTAGTTAGGTTTAGTCGAAAAGCCTATTTCGATTAAATATTCGGTAAGGGAAAATTCGGTTAACAGAGCCTGTTGTTAGCTAGGGTCGGTAATTCATTAGCAATTTAAAGAAAACGTCGAAACTGATTAGCGGTAGATTTAGATTGGGTGATAAGTGAACCGAAAAGTGGACTTCTCTTATTTTATTTGATTTTTATTTTGTTTTGTTATTTTTATTTTTATCAAAATCAATCCCCCATCTTTATTTGCTTTCTTAATTTAGTTTAATTAATACGAAATTTGTCACGACCCGAAATTTGTCACGACTTAATTCCTGCTCCTCGTGGGATCGACCCTTACTCGCCACTACTACTAGTTAGTAGAGGTTTGTTAAGGAAACTTTATAAATTTAAATTTGCCGCGTCGCGACGCGCGGTCACAGGGGGCGTCTTAATAAGTTTTTAGACTTAATGTTGATT